TGGGAACATCCATGTGTTTCGCCTTCTCGTCTTTTCGCGCCCGAAGAGTTGACAGGCTCCAACATTGCCTCAGAGGGGGACCCGTCAAAATCTCAAGACGGGCTCAGGAGCGGCCCCAGAATGCACAAAAAAAGAGGCCCATCCCAAGAGGCCCCAAGGCCCGTCCCAATTCCGAACGCGCCTCTTTGGGCCACAGACGGCCTGGGAGGGCAGCGCGGGGCCCCCGCAGGCCCCGAACCCCCCCCCCAAGGAGGGCTCCCACTTGCCCCCGAGCGTGCTTGCCGACCGTTGCCGACCGCGACCACGGCAAACAGCGGCGACGGCCACGGCGGCAGCGACGGCGGCGACGGCGGTGGCGACGGCGGCGAAGCTGGCGGCGACCCGCCGCGCGGCGGAGGCCACGGCGGCCGCCGGCAGGCCCCGGCCGCGCGGCCCCGCGGGCGCGCCGCGGGGCCGCGCTGGCGCTGGCCCTCGCGGCGCTGGCGGAGGCGGGCCGCGTCGGCCGCGCGAGCGCGCGAGGAGGTCGGGCAGCCAGAGCGCTCCTGGGCGCTCAGGAGCTCGGCCGCGCGCGCCAGGGGGGGAGGTCGACTACACGCAAGAGTGGCCCTTCGCCGGAGTGGCCTCTGGTGCGGGCCCCTTGGGGTCCCCGATCGCCGAACGCGGGGCGGCAGTGGCGATTTGCGCGCTTGTGTTTGCCCCCCCCACCACGGCCCCTCAAAAGCCGCGCACCAAAGGTCACTCTTACCCAGGGTCACTCTTACGTGCAGCTGAGGAGGGGGAGGGAGCGGGGAGGGCGTCTCAGAAGGAGGCTGCTTCTTGGAAGGCGCGGGCCTCTATCTATAGATTCTGGATGTGAGGCCGGCGCCTTCTAAAAAGCAGGCTCCTCCTGAGAAGCCTTGCCCCCTCCCCGTGCCCCCTCGTGCGTGCCGCCAGCGCCAAAGAGCGGCCGTGGCACGCTGGTCCCAAAACGGTGCGGTGGCCACATCGTCGGGTGGGCACATCGTGGGGGGTCGCACGGCTCTGGGACTCGGGCAGCCAGAGCGCTCCAGGGCGTTCCGAAGCGGCCGTGGCACCTTCCCAGGCGGCGTACGCCTTCCACAAAGCGGAGGCTGCAGTCTTTCGCCTTCTTCACCCTTGGCGGCCCCGTTCTGGGCTCCAGGGGTCCGTCAAAAAACGGCTCGGCATCAAGCAGGCGCGGGGGAGAGCCGGCCCCCCCCCGAAATGTGCAGTGGCCACACCGCACGGCTTTGGGACTTTGGGACCCTGGTTAGGTCGGGCCTGTCCCTCTACAGAGGAATATCCCACAATAGTAAAACACAGAGTCTGGGGACGATTGTTGTTTTTTGTTTCACAAAAAAAATGAGCATTTGGGGGTCATTTTTTGATTATTGCTTATTTTTCGTCCAAAATCCGCCCGTAGGGGGACATGCCCGACTCAAGACTCTGGTCGTTCTCCGAGGGTGTCTTGGGCGACTGGGACCTCCAGGGTCCCAGGGCCGCGCGGCGGCGGACCGTGCGGTCAGGTCTTTGGAGAGTTCGAGGTCGTCGCACGGTCTGCCACCGCACCGTTCTAGGACCGACCCCCGACGGAGAAGGGGCGGACCCAACCGGTGTTCTGGCGATTTCGTTTTCGTTTCGACTTCGTTTTGCGGTAAAGGCGGATGGAGGACAAAACGAGGGAAAAAAACGACAACAAAACGAAAATCAAAAACACCGCTTAGGTTCAGCCCTGATTTCAAGGTCGTCGCACGGTCTGCCACCGCACCGTTCTAGGACCCACCCCCGACGGATACCCGACATCTTGCACAGATCGAGGGCGGAAGCTTGCTCGCCGTCTTCGGCCTCTGGGGGCCCGCGGCGGGCTCCAGGGGGCCGTCGAGCATAACGAAGTGCTCCGGACGAGGGCCGTGACGGCCAGAGGCCAAGCGAGGAGAAGAGGCAGACGTCGGACGTGTGGGCGGGTGTTGCCAGAGGTGCGCCTGGCCGCCCCGAAGGAGGAGGAGGAGGAGGAGGAGGAGGAGGAGGGGGGCGGGGGCTACGGCCGACCAGCAGCATTTCCGGGCCGCCCCCCTGCCCCCTTTCGCCCCCTCCGCCTCCTTTCGGACGTACCTTTGCGCAGTCCCTGTTGTTGAGTCCGTCGAGCCTATTCTAAATGACCTTCAACGCGCTGTATTCCAGAATCACAGAATTAATGGAAATAGCAAATATGTTGATTCCTTACCTAGGCTCTGCCTAGAAGGGTTCTTACTGTATAAGCTTAAAGGGCCGGGCAGTGGACCACGCCCCGGGCGGTTCCCCCGGCATCCGCCCCACGGTTCCCCCAGTGACGTTCCCTTAGCTTAGCGTTGTTTATCTCATTCCCTACCTAGGCTCTGCCTAGAAGGATTCTTACCGTGTTCTCTTAAAGGGGCCGGGCAGTGGACCACGCCCCGGGCGGTTCCCCCAGGATCCGCCCCGTGGTTCCCCCAGTGACGTCCCGCTGAGCTGAGCTTAGCTTAGCTTAGCTTAGCTGAGCTTATCTCCTCTTGGCTTAGCTTAGCCTAGCCTGGCTTAGCTTAGCTTAGCTTAACCCACCTTAGCTTAGCTTAGCTTAGCTTAGCTTAGCTTATCTCATCTTAGCTTAGCTTAGCCTAGCCTAGCTTAGTTTAGTGAGCTTAGCTTCGCTCACCTTTGCTTACCTTAGCTTAGCTCAGCTTATATTGGCTTAGCGTTGCTTATTTCATAGTAGCTTAACATAGCCTAGCTTAGCCTAGCCTAGCTTAGCCTAGCCTAGCCTAGCCTAGCTTCGCTTAGCTTAGCTTAGCTCCGTGTACCTCATGTTAGCTTAGCTTAGCTTAATTTAGTTTAGCCTAGCCTTGCTTAGCTTAGATTAGCTTAGCTAAGCTTAGCTTAGCTTAGCTTAGCTTATCTCATCTTAGCTTAGCTTAGCTTAGCTACCTCAGCTTAGCTTAGCTTAGCTTAGCTCATGCTGCTTTCCTAGGGGCTCCAACTCCTTGGTATGGGTCGCACTGGGATGCTGTTGCTTTTATTGTTGATTCGAAAGCTTAGCCTCGCCTCCAGATTTTGTAAAGGTCCAAAAATATCAACGTTGTGCTATTTTGCCTGATCCATGGATTCCCAGATCATGGGCTCAAGTGAATCGCAAGAAACCAGGGATCAGGCAAAACAGCAGAATTCTCAAGAATCTCGAGATTCTAATTTGTTTTGCTATTTTGCCTGATCCCTGGTTTCCCAAATCCTGAGCCCCAGTGAAGAGTCCCGGGAACGGGGGAACTAGGCAAAATATCAGAATGTTCAAAGCATGTTAAAACATGTCTGTTATGCTATTTTGCCTGATTCCTGGATTTCCAGATCCTGGGCTCAAGTGAATCCCAGAAATCAGGGATCAGGTAGAACAGCAGGCATTCGTCTTGAACACCAAAACAAATTGAAATGTTTGCTATTTTGACTGAGCCCTGGTTTCCCAAATCCTGGGATCCAGAAAAGAATCACAGAAGCCAGGGGATCAGGCATAATAGCATGTTTTCATGTTGTTCCCCACATCCAAAGGGTTTTTTTTTGTTTTCTCTGCACCCCCCCCGCGCACGATCTCTCCTCCCCCCTCTCTTCCTCCTCCTCCTCCTCCTCCTCCTCCTCCTCCTCCTCCTCCTCCTCCTCCTCCTCATCATCATCATCATCATCATCATCATCATCATCATCATCATCATCATCATAATTCTCATCATCTGCATAACCATCACACTCTCACACACTCACACTCACACACTATTTCTTCCTCTCCGCCTAACTCACTCACTTTTTCGTCATCACACACACTCACGCACACCCACACTCACTCCCTGACACACTCACACCCACCATCATGATCATCATCATCACTCGATCACTCACCCACTCACTCACTTACTCACTCACTCATCACCGTAATCTTTCATTCATTCACTCATCACTTCATCATCACTCACACCCTAGCTTGCATATGGAGGAAGTATCAAGCGGGAGCTTCGTCTGTGAGTGAATTGTGAGGAAGTCTCAGGCGGGAGCCCCCGCATTTCATGTTGGTAATCCGAGCGGGTCATCCTCAACCTTGTAATTGTCGTCATGTTTGGGCTCCTGATGCCTGAATATGTGAGACGTATTGGGCGGCAGGCGGCAGTCTCGTTTGTGAGTGAATTGTGAGGAAGTCTCAGGCGGGGGCCCCCTCCCTATGGGTCCCGCATTTCATGTTGGTAATCCGAGCGGGTCATCCTCAACCTTGTAATTGTCGTCACGTTTGGGCTCCTGAGGCCTCAATATGGAGGAAGTATCAGGCGGCAGCCCCTTTGGTGAGTGAATCGTGAGGAAGTCTCAGGCGGGAGCCCCCTCCCTATGGATCCCGCATTTCATCTTGGTAATCCGAGCGGGTCATCCTCAACCCTGTAATTGTTATCATTTTTGGGCTCTTCAGGCTTGAATTTGGAGGAAGTCTCAGGCGGGAGCCTCGTCTGTGAGTGAATTGCGAGGAAGTCTCAGACGGGAGCCCCTTCCCTATGATTTCTTCCTCGGCGGAAGCTGGCGGAAGCAGAGGACGCCTCCCCAAGAGATGGCAGCGCTGTGGGTTTCAGGGTGCCTGGAACCCCCCATGAAGGGAAGGCGTCCTGCAGGAGACGAGTCCTGAGGTTCCCCGCCGATTTGACCCTCTCAGGGGCCCTCGGGATGAAGACCTTGCCCCGAGGGGGGAAGCCCTGGGGCCTGGGACCCGGCCCCCTCTGTGCCTGCTTCCTGCATGGCAGGTCTCGCCCCCTGGGCCAGGGGGTTCTTGCCCCGCCACGGCCGGACTCGCCGTCCCTGGGGTGCGCTTTTACCGAGGGGCTTCGCCTGGCTCCACTTGCCCGAGCGCTCCGGAGCGGCCACGGCACACCGGGTGCGCCTCCGCAGCCACCCTGGCCCACGAGCACTCGCACCGGCCGCGCTGCTCCGCCGCAGGCGCTCAGACAGCCCAGCCGCCGCCGCCGAGGGCCATGCTCTGCGCCCTGGCTCTCCTCGCGCTGCCGCTCGCCGCGCGGGCGGGCGCCGGTGGCCCCAGCGCTCCGGAGCCGCCGAGCGCGCCGCGCCTCGCCGTCGCCGCCAACGTGTCGGCCTTTGCGCTCTCCGGCCCGGCCCGCGGCGGCAGCCTGAGGGGCTCGCCGGCGCCGAGCGCGCGGAAGTTCATCGCGCACGGCGACGCCGAGTGCTCGGGGAGGTACGCCGCCATCCAGACGGCGGCGCAGTGCGCGGCGGCGGCGCAGGCGCTCTGGCCCACCGGCCTGCTGTACCCCTGCTGGTACCCCACGTGGGCGGAGGACCTCACGGAGGTTCAGGGGCAACTATAGGTGCGTACCGTCAGGGCGCTGAATGGAGGACCGCTTTTGGGTGCGGAAGGGGCTCGCAAGGGCCTCGCTGTTCCTCCCAGGCCCCTGCCGTGGTGGTTCCTCCAGCCCTCCTCGTGCGCGCCGGCGCTTGGGGTGCCCCGGGGGAGAGCGCGTCGACCCCCCATCGCCCACCCGGCGCCCATCGGGGCCTGCTGGCCCCACCCCGCCCAGGGACGTGCGGACTTCGCCATGTACCATCCAGGGCCCATCGCCGATCCGTCGGCGCGGCATCGCCGGTCCCGGTGTCGGCGCCCCCCCCCCTCCCGGGCGCCACGCCAGCCCCTTTACATCGTCAGCCCCTCAGAGGTGGACGAGCCCGACGAGCCGCAGGGCTGCCTGCTCCTCACGAACGCCGACAACGGCTGCGGCCTGCGCTTCAACGCGGCCGGGCGCGGGGCGGTGTGCGACGAGCCCGGGCTCTCATGCGTGGTCGTCTGCGGGGAGGGCGGCGGCCCGGCGACCTCGACGGAGGGCCCCGCGGGCCCCGCGACCACGGAGTCGCCGTGAGGCGCCGGCCTGCATGCCGCCAGGGCCGCTGCCGTTGGGCGATGCCGCCTCCCAGGTGGGGCCCGAGTAGTTCTCACGGGCAACGGCATGCGGGGACAGGCGTAGGGGGGGGATGCATCGACCTCCAATCGTTCATCGCCGATGGGGGCCCGACAGCCCCACCCAGGAACGCGGGGATCTGCTCTCGGGGGCCTATCCCCGCTCTATCGGCGATGTGTCGCCCCATTCCAGGTCGGTGTTCCCCCCCCTCTGTGCCAGTCCCCCCCGACCGTTGCTGCCCCTGAGAGTATACAGATGGGGTCGGAGGATATCGCGCCCCATCGCCGATGCACCGGCGATCTGCATCGGCGGTGCGGCTCGATGTGGAGCCCGAGCTTCTCCGCGCCGAGACCTCGGCGATGCGGTGCAAGCCTCCGACCCCATCCAGGAGGCCTCCATTGAGAGCTCCGGGATCCAGGATCCGCGCTCCCCGTCAGCCCGTGTCGCTCATGCCGGAGGCGGTGGGGTGGTTTCGAAGAAGAAGGAACTGCATCAACATAGATGTTCGGAGGTCCGCGTGGATTCCTTGCACCGGCGCTGGGCCCCCCTCCCTGGCGCGCGCGGAGCGCGCTATAGGGGCGGCGCCCGAGGCGCCGTCAGGGGGGTCGAGCGCCGATCCCAGAACTCCGCGCGGACCTCCGAAAGTTTATGTGTAATTATGCAGCTTGTTCGTCTGCTGTGGTTTGTGCTCGTGGTGAAGCGTCTGGTGCGTTTACAGTTTGTGCCAGCACTCACAAGTGACACTCTGCGCGTTGCGGGCGCCAAACAGGATGCCAGCGCCACCTGCAAAGTTCATTACAGCTGGACTGGTAGAGCGCAGTTTTTCTTATGGAGCCGCTGTCGTGACCTGACAGCAGGTCGCACGAGTAGTATGTCTGATCATCTGCGGTGAGGCAAGAAGCGCCGTCATATCAGCATGCCCAGGAAAGAATGGCTTGCACGGGCGCCGTCGGCGGTGGTTGGCTGGGCCCCTGGTTCTCAACTGCTTGACTTCCGGGCGGGATTCGATTGCATCTCCCCCCACACAGGGCGGAGGAGGAGGGTCCATGGGATTCTTCTCGGACGCTTCAGAGCCGTTCTCAGGAAGAGGGAAGGAGGGCCGGACCGGACGAATGGGGGGAATGGGATGGGGGGGTCGAAGTCTGCTGCGTGCAGCTGGTTTCGGTCCCGCCGCTGGGCGCAACGAGGGGGGGATTAGGCATGGGGGGGGACGCATCGACCCCCAATCGCCCATTGATCGCCGACCAGGGCCTGACAGCCCCAATCAGCCCAGGAAGGTGCTGCTTCACTAGCGGGGGCCTACCGCCGATCTATCGGCGATGCATCGCCGATTCCAGGTCAATGTTCCCCTCCCCCTGTAACAGGCCCCCCCCCGTTTATCGTTGCCCCTCAAGGGGGCGCGCTCCAGAACGGTTCTTGCCCTCGAGGACCTGGGGAGTTGGCATCTCTTCCTCGGCGGAAGCTGGCGGAAGCAGAGGACGCCCCCCCAAGAGATGGGTTTCAGGGTGCCTGGAACCCCCCATGAAGGGAAGGCGTCCTGCAGGAGACGAGTCCTGAGGTTCCCCGCCGATTTGACCCTCTCAGGGGCCCTCGGGATGAAGACCTTGCCCCGAGGGGGGAAGCCCTGGGGCCTGGGACCCGGTCCCCTCTGTGCCTGCTTCTTGCATGGCAGGTCTCGCCCCCTGGGCCAGGGGGTTCTTGCCCCGCCACGGCCGGACTCGCCGTCCCCGGGGTGCGCTTTTACCGAGGGGCTTCGCCTGGCTCCACTTGCCCGAGCGCTCCAGAGCGGCCACGGCACACCGGGTGCGCCTCCGCAGCCACCCTGGCCCACGAGCACTCACACCGGCCGCGCTGCTCCGCCGCAGGCGCTCAGACAGCCCAGCCGCCGCCGCCGAGGGCCATGCTCCGCGCCCTGGCTCTCCTCGCGCTGCCGCTCGCCGCGCGGGCGGGCGCCGGTGGCCCCAGCGCTCCGGAGCCGCCGAGCGCGCCGCGCCTCGCCGTCGCCGCCAACGTGTCGGCCTTTGCGCTCTCCGGCCCGGCCCGCGGCGGCAGCCTGAGGGGCTCGCCGGCGCCGAGCGCGCGGAAGTTCATCGCGCACGGCGACGCCGAGTGCTCGGGGAGGTACGCCGCCATCCAGACGGCGGCGCAGTGCGCGGCGGCGGCGCAGGCGCTCTGGCCCACCGGCCTGCTGTACCCCTGCTGGTACCCCACGTGGGCGGAGGACCTCACGGAGGTTCAGGGGCAACTATAGGTGCGTACCGTCAGGGCGCTGAATGGAGGACCGCTTTTGGGTGCGGAAGGGGCTCGCAAGGGCCTCGCTGTTCCTCCCAGGCCCCTGCCGTGGTGGTTCCTCCAGCCCTCCTCGTGCGCGCCGGCGCTTGGGGTGCCCCGGGGGAGAGCGCGTCGACCCCCCATCGCCCACCCGGCGCCCATCGGGGCCTGCTGGCCCCACCCCGCCCAGGGACGTGCGGACTTCGCCATGTACCATCCAGGGCCCATCGCCGATCCGTCGGCGCGGCATCGCCGGTCCCGGTGTCGGCGCCCCCCCCCCTCCCGGGCGCCACGCCAGCCCCTTTACATCGTCAGCCCCTCAGAGGTGGACGAGCCCGACGAGCCGCAGGGCTGCCTGCTCCTCACGAACGCCGACAACGGCTGCGGCCTGCGCTTCAACGCGGCCGGGCGCGGGGCGGTGTGCGACGAGCCCGGGCTCTCATGCGTGGTCGTCTGCGGGGAGGGCGGCGGCCCGGCGACCTCGACGGAGGGCCCCGCGGGCCCCGCGACCACGGAGTCGCCGTGAGGCGCCGGCCTGCATGCCGCCGGGGCCGCTGCCGTTGGGCGATGCCGCCTCCCAGGTGGGGCCCGAGTAGTTATCACGGGCAACGGCATGCGGGGACAGGGACGTAGGGGGGGGATGCATCGACCTCCAATCGTTCATCGCCGATGGGGGCCCGACAGCCCCACCCAGGAACGCGGGGATCTGCTCTCGGGGGCCTATCCCCGCTCTATCGGCGATGTGTCGCCCCATTCCAGGTCGGTGTTCCCCCCCCTCTGTGCCAGTCCCCCCCGACCGTTGCTGCCCCTGAGAGTATACAGATGGGGTCGGAGGATATCGCGCCCCATCGCCGATGCACCGGCGATCTGCATCGGCGGTGCGGCTCGATGTGGAGCCCGAGCTTCTCCGCGCCGAGACCTCGGCGATGCGGTGCAAGCCTCCGACCCCATCCAGGAGGCCTCCATTGAGAGCTCCGGGATCCAGGATCCGCGCTCCCCGTCAGCCCGTGTCGCTCATGCTGGAGGCGGTGGGGTGGTTTCGAAGAAGAAGGAACTGCATCAACATAGATGTTCGGAGGTCCGCGTGGATTCCTTGCACCGGCGCTGGGCCCCCCTCCCTGGCGCGCGCGGAGCGCGCTATAGGGGCGGCGCCCGAGGCGCCGTCAGGGGGGTCGAGCGCCGATCCCAGAACTCCGCGCGGACCTCCGAAAGTTTATGTGTAGTTATGCAGCTTGTTCGTCTGCTGTGGTTTGTGCTCGTGGTGAGGCGTCTGGTGCGTTTACAGTGTGTGCCAGCACTCACAAGTGACACTCTGCGCGTTGCGGGCGCCAAACAGGATGCCAGCGCCACCGGCAAAGTTCATTACAGCTGGACTGGTAGAGCGCAGTTTTTCTTATGGAGCCGCTGTCGTGACCTGACAGCAGGTCGCACGAGTAGTATGTCTGATCATCTGCGGTGAGACAAGAAGCGCCGTCATATCAGCATGCCCAGGAAAGAATGGCTTGCACGGGCGCCGTCGGCGGTGGTTGGCTGGGCCCCTGGTTCTCAACTGCTTGACTTCCGGGCGGGATTCGATTGCATCTCCCCCCACACAGGGCGGAGGAGGAGGGTCCATGGGATTCTTCTCGGACGCTTCAGAGCCGTTCTCAGGAGGAGGGAAGGAGGGCCGGACCGGACGAACGGGGGGAATAGGATGGGGGGGTCGAAGTCTCCTGCGTGCAGCTGGTTTCGGTCCCGCCGCTGGGCGCAACGAGGGGGGGGGATTAGGCATGGGGGGGGACGCATCGACCCCCAATCGCCCATTGATCGCCGACCGGGGCCCGACAGCCCCAATCAGCCCAGGAAGGCGCTGTTTCACTAGCGGGGGCCTACCGCCGATCTATCGGCGATGCATCGCCGATTCCAGGTCAATGTTCCCCCCCCCTGTAACAGGCCCCCCCCCGTTTATCGTTGCCCCTCAAGGGGGCGCGCTCCAGAACGGTTCTTGCCCTCGAGGACCTGGGGAGTTGGCATCTCTTCCTCGGCGGAAGCTGGCGGAAGCAGAGGATGCCCCCCCAAGAGATGGCAGCGCTGTGGGTTTCAGGGTGCCTGGAACCCCCCATGAAGGGAAGGCGTCCTGCAGGAGACGAGTCCTGAGGTTCCCCGCCGATTTGACCCTCTCAGGGGCCCTCGGGATGAAGACCTTGCCCCGAGGGGGGAAGCCCTGGGGCCTGGGACCCGGTCCCCTCTGTGCCTGCTTCCTGCATGGCAGGTCTCGCCCCCTGGGCCAGGGGGTTCTTGCCCCGCCACGGCCGGACTCGCCGTCCCTGGGGTGCGCTTTTACCGAGGGGCTTCGCCTGGCTCCACTTGCCCGAGCGCTCCGGAGCGGCCACGGCACACCGGGTGCGCCTCCGCAGCCACCCTGGCCCACGAGCACTCGCACCGGCCGCGCTGCTCCGCCGCAGGCGCTCAGACAGCCCAGCCGCCGCCGCCGAGGGCCATGCTCTGCGCCCTGGCTCTCCTCGCGCTGCCGCTCGCCGCGCGGGCGGGCGCCGGTGGCCCCAGCGCTCCGGAGCCGCCGAGCGCGCCGCGCCTCGCCGTCGCCGCCAACGTGTCGGCCTTTGCGCTCTCCGGCCCGGCCCGCGGCGGCAGCCTGAGGGGCTCGCCGGCGCCGAGCGCGCGGAAGTTCATCGCGCACGGCGACGCCGAGTGCTCGGGGAGGTACGCCGCCATCCAGACGGCGGCGCAGTGCGCGGCGGCGGCGCAGGCGCTCTGGCCCACCGGCCTGCTGTACCCCTGCTGGTACCCCACGTGGGCGGAGGACCTCACGGAGGTTCAGGGGCAACTATAGGTGCGTACCGTCAGGGCGCTGAATGGAGGACCGCTTTTGGGTGCGGAAGGGGCTCGCAAGGGCCTCGCTGTTCCTCCCAGGCCCCTGCCGTGGTGGTTCCTCCAGCCCTCCTCGTGCGCGCCGGCGCTTGGGGTGCCCCGGGGGAGAGCGCGTCGACCCCCCATCGCCCACCCGGCGCCCATCGGGGCCTGCTGGCCCCACCCCGCCCAGGGACGTGCGGACTTCGCCATGTACCATCCAGGGCCCATCGCCGATCCGTCGGCGCGGCATCGCCGGTCCCGGTGTCGGCGCCCCCCCCCCTCCCGGGCGCCACGCCAGCCCCTTTACATCGTCAGCCCCTCAGAGGTGGACGAGCCCGACGAGCCGCAGGGCTGCCTGCTCCTCACGAACGCCGACAACGGCTGCGGCCTGCGCTTCAACGCGGCCGGGCGCGGGGCGGTGTGCGACGAGCCCGGGCTCTCATGCGTGGTCGTCTGCGGGGAGGGCGGCGGCCCGGCGACCTCGACGGAGGGCCCCGCGGGCCCCGCGACCACGGAGTCGCCGTGAGGCGCCGGCCTGCATGCCGCCGGGGCCGCTGCCGTTGGGCGATGCCGCAGGTGGGGCCCGAGTAGTTCTCACGGGCAACGGCATGCGGGGACAGGCGTAGGGGGGGGATGCATCGACCTCCAATCGTTCATCGCCGATGGGGGCCCGACAGCCCCACCCAGGAACGCGGGGATCTGCTCTCGGGGGCCTATCCCCGCTCTATCGGCGATGTGTCGCCCCATTCCAGGTCAGTGTTCCCCCCCCTCTGTGCCAGTCCCCCCCGACCGTTGCTGCCCCTGAGAGTATACAGATGGGGTCGGAGGATATCGCGCCCCATCGCCGATGCACCGGCGATCTGCATCGGCGGTGCGGCTCGATGTGGAGCCCGAGCTTCTCCGCGCCGAGACCTCGGCGATGCGGTGCAAGCCTCCGACCCCATCCAGGAGGCCTCCATTGAGAGCACCGGGATCAAGGATCCGCGCTCCCCGTCAGCCCGTGTCGCTCATGCCGGAGGCGGTGGGGTGGTTTCGAAGAAGAAGGAACTGCATCAACATAGATGTTCGGAGGTCCGCGTGGATTCCTTGCACCGGCGCTGGGCCTCCCTCCCTGGCGCGCGGAGCGCGCTATAGGGGCGGCGCCCGAGGCGCCGTCAGGGGGGTCGAGCGCCGATCCCAGAACTCCGCGCGGAGCTCCGAAAGTTTATGAGTAATTATGCAGCTTGTTCGTCTGCTGTGGTTTGTGCTCGTGATGAGGCGTCTGGTGCGTTTACAGTATGTGCCAGCACTCACAAGTGACACTCTGCGCGCTGCGGGCGCCAAACAGGATGCCAGCGCCACCGGCAAAGTTCATTACAGCTGGACTGGTGGAGCGCAGTGTTTCCTATGGAGCCGCTGTCGTGACCTGACAGCAGGTCGCACGAGTAGTATGTCTGATCATCTGCGGTGTGACAAGAAGCGCCGTCATATCAGCATGCCCAGGAAAGAATGGCTGGCACGGGCGCCGTCGGCGGTGGTTGGCTGGGCCCCTGGTTCTCAACTGCTTGACTTCGGGCGGGATTCGATTGCATCTCCCCCCACACAGGGCGGAGGAGGAGGGTCCATGGGATTCTTCTCGGACGCTTCAGAGCCGTTCTCAGGAGGAGGGAAGGAGGGCCGGACCGGACGAGTGGGGGGATTGGGATGGGGGGGTCGAAGTCTGCTGCGTGCAGCTGGTTTCGGTCCCGCCGCTGGGCGCAACGAGGGGGGGATTAGGCATGGGGGGGGACGCATCGACCCCCAATCGCCCATTGATCGCCGACCAGGGCCTGACAGCCCCAATCAGCCCAGGAAGGTGCTGCTTCACTAGCGGGGGCCTACCGCCGATCTATCGGCGATGCATCGCCGATTCCAGGTCAATGTTCCCCTCCCCCTGTAACAGGCCCCCCCCCGTTTATCGTTGCCCCTCAAGGGGGCGCGCTCCAGAACGGTTCTTGCCCTCGAGGACCTGGGGAGTTGGCATCTCTTCCTCGGCGGAAGCTGGCGGAAGCAGAGGATGCCCCCCCAAGAGATGGCAGCGCTGTGGGTTTCAGGGTGCCTGGAACCCCCCATGAAGGGAAGGCGTCCTGCAGGAGACGAGTCCTGAGGTTCCCCGCCGATTTGACCCTCTCAGGGGCCCTCGGGATGAAGACCTTGCCCCGAGGGGGGAAGCCCTGGGGCCTGGGACCCGGTCCCCTCTGTGCCTGCTTCCTGCATGGCAGGTCTCGCCCCCTGGGCCAGGGGGTTCTTGCCCCGCCACGGCCGGACTCGCCGTCCCTGGGGTGCGCTTTTACCGAGGGGCTTCGCCTGGCTCCACTTGCCCGAGCGCTCCAGAGCGGCCACGGCACACCGGGTGCGCCTCCGCAGCCACCCTGGCCCACGAGCACTCACACCGGCCGCGCTGCTCCGCCGCAGGCGCTCAGACAGCCCAGCCGCCGCCGCCGAGGGCCATGCTCCGCGCCCTGGCTCTCCTCGCGCTGCCGCTCGCCGCGCGGGCGGGCGCCGGTGGCCCCAGCGCTCCGGAGCCGCCGAGCGCGCCGCGCCTCGCCGTCGCCGCCAACGTGTCGGCCTTTGCGCTCTCCGGCCCGGCCCGCGGCGGCAGCCTGAGGGGCTCGCCGGCGCCGAGCGCGCGGAAGTTCATCGCGCACGGCGACGCCGAGTGCTCGGGGAGGTACGCCGCCATCCAGACGGCGGCGCAGTGCGCGGCGGCGGCGCAGGCGCTCTGGCCCACCGGCCTGCTGTACCCCTGCTGGTACCCCACGTGGGCGGAGGACCTCACGGAGGTTCAGGGGCAACTATAGGTGCGTACCGTCAGGGCGCTGAATGGAGGACCGCTTTTGGGTGCGGAAGGGGCTCGCAAGGGCCTCGCTGTTCCTCCCAGGCCCCTGCCGTGGTGGTTCCTCCAGCCCTCCTCGTGCGCGCCGGCGCTTGGGGTGCCCCGGGGGAGAGCGCGTCGACCCCCCATCGCCCACCCGGCGCCCATCGGGGCCTGCTGGCCCCACCCCGCCCAGGGACGTGCGGACTTCGCCATGTACCATCCAGGGCCCATCGCCGATCCGTCGGCGCGGCATCGCCGGTCCCGGTGTCGGCGCCCCCCCCCCTCCCGGGCGCCACGCCAGCCCCTTTACATCGTCAGCCCCTCAGAGGTGGACGAGCCCGACGAGCCGCAGGGCTGCCTGCTCCTCACGAACGCCGACAACGGCTGCGGCCTGCGCTTCAACGCGGCCGGGCGCGGGGCGGTGTGCGACGAGCCCGGGCTCTCATGCGTGGTCGTCTGCGGGGAGGGCGGCGGCCCGGCGACCTCGACGGAGGGCCCCGCGGGCCCCGCGACCACGGAGTCGCCGTGAGGCGCCGGCCTGCATGCCGCCGGGGCCGCTGCCGTTGGGCGATGCCGCCTCCCAGGTGGGGCCCGAGTAGTTCTCACGGGCAACGGCATGCGGGGACAGGCGTAGGGGGGGGATGCATCGACCTCCAATCGTTCATCGCCGATGGGGGCCCGACAGCCCCACCCAGGAACGCGGGGATCTGCTCTCGGGGGCCTATCCCCGCTCTATCGGCGATGTGTCGCCCCATTCCAGGTCGGTGTTCCCCCCCCTCTGTGCCAGTCCCCCCCGACCGTTGCTGCCCCTGAGAGTATACAGATGGGGTCGGAGGATATCGCGCCCCATCGCCGATGCACCGGCGATCTGCATCGGCGGTGCGGCTCGATGTGGAGCCCGAGCTTCTCCGCGCCGAGACCTCGGCGATGCGGTGCAAGCCTCCGACCCCATCCAGGAGGCCTCCATTGAGAGCACCAGGATCAAGGATCCGCGCTCCCCGTCAGCCCGTGTCGCTCATGCCGGAGGCGGTGGGGTGGTTTCGAAGAAGAAGGAACTGCATCAACATAGATGTTCGGAGGTCCGCGTGGATTCCTTGCACCGGCGCTGGGCCTCCCTCCCTGGCGCGCGGAGCGCGCTATAGGGGCGGCGCCCGAGGCGCCGTCAGGGGGGTCGAGCGCCGATCCCAGAACTCCGCGCGGAGCTCCGAAAGTTTATGTGTAATTATGCAGCTTGTTCGTCTGCTGTGGTTTGTGCTCGTGGTGAGGCGTCTGGTGCGTTTACAGTATGTGCCAGCACTCACAAGTGACACTCTGCGCGCTGCGGGCGCCAAACAGGATGCCAGCGCCACCGGCAAAGTTCATTACAGCTGGACTGGTGGAGCGCAGTGTTTCCTATGGAGCCGCTGTCGTGACCTGACAGCAGGTCGCACGAGTAGTATGTCTGATCATCTGCGGTGTGACAAGAAGCGCCGTCATATCAGCATGCCCAGGAAAGAATGGCTGGCACGGGCGCCGTCGGCGGTGGTTGGCTGGGCCCCTGGTTCTCAACTGCTTGACTTCGGGCGGGATTCGATTGCATCTCCCCCCACACAGGGCGGAGGAGGAGGGTCCATGGGATTCTTCTCGGACGCTTCAGAGCCGTTCTCAGGAGGAGGGAAGGAGGGCCGGACCGGACGAGTGGGGGGATTGGGATGGGGGGGTCGAAGTCTGCTGCGTGCAGCTGGTTTCGGTCCCGCCGCTGGGCGCAACGAGGGGGGGATTAGGCATGGGGGGGGACGCATCGACCCCCAATCGCCCATTGATCGCCGACCGGGGCCCGACAGCCCCAATCAGCCCAGGAAGGTGCTGTTTCACTAGCGGGGCCTACCGCCGATCTATCGGCGATGCATCGCCGATTCCAGGTCAATGTTCCCCCCCCCTGTAACAGGCCCCCCCCCCGTTTATCGTTGCCCCTCAAGGGGGCGCGCTCCAGAACGGTTCTTGCCTTCGAGGACCTGGGGAGTTGGCATCTCTTCCTCGGCGGAAGCTGGCGGAAGCAGAGGATGCCCCCCCAAGAGATGGCAGCGCTGTGGGTTTCAGGGTGCCTGGAACCCCCCATGAAGGGAAGGCGTCCTGCAGGAGACGAGTCCTGAGGTTCCCCGCCGATTTGACCCTCTCAGGGGCCCTCGGGATGAAGACCTTGCCCCGAGGGGGGAAGCCCTGGGGCCTGGGACCCGGTCCCCTCTGTGCCTGCTTCCTGCATGGCAGGTCTCGCCCCCTGGGCCAGGGGGTTCTTGCCCCGCCACGGCCGGACTCGCCGTCCCTGGGGTGCGCTTTTACCGAGGGGCTTCGCCTGGCTCCACTTGCCCGAGCGCTCCAGAGCGGCCACGGCACACCGGGTGCGCCTCCGCAGCCACCCTGGCCCACGAGCACTCACACCGGCCGCGCTGCTCCGCCGCAGGCGCTCAGACAGCCCAGCCGCCGCCGCCGAGGGCCATGCTCCGCGCCCTGGCTCTCCTCGCGCTGCCGCTCGCCGCGCGGGCGGGCGCCGGTGGCCCCAGCGCTCCGGAGCCGCCGAGCGCGCCGCGCCTCGCCGTCGCCGCCAACGTGTCGGCCTTTGCGCTCTCCGGCCCGGCCCGCGGCGGCAGCCTGAGGGGCTCGCCGGCGCGCTGAGCGCTCCGCCGCCGAAGTTCAGCCTCTCGCGCACGGCGACGCCGAGTGCTCGGGGAGGTACGCCGCCATCCAGACGGCGGCGCAGTGCGCGGCGGCGGCGCAGGCGCTCTGGCCCACCGGCCTGCTGTACCCCTGCTGGTACCCCACGTGGGCGGAGGACCTCACGGAGGTTCAGGGGCAACTATAGGTGCGTACCGTCAGGGCGCTGAATGGAGGACCGCTTTTGGGTGCGGAAGGGGCTCGCAAGGGCCTCGCTGTTCCTCCCAGGCCCCTGCCGTGGTGGTTCCTCCAGCCCTCCTCGTGCGCGCCGGCGCTTGGGGTGCCCCGGGGGAGAGCGCGTCGACCCCCCATCGCCCACCCGGCGCCCATCGGGGCCTGCTGGCCCCACCCCGCCCAGGGACGTGCGGACTTCGCCATGTACCATCCAGGGCCCATCGCCGATCCGTCGGCGCGGCATCGCCGGTCCCGGTGTCGGCGCCCCCCCCCCTCCCGGGCGCCACGCCAGCCCCTTTACATCGTCAGCCCCTCAGAGGTGGACGAGCCCGACGAGCCGCAGGGCTGCCTGCTCCTCACGAACGCCGACAACGGCTGCGGCCTGCGCTTCAACGCGGCCGGGCGCGGGGCGGTGTGCGACGAGCCCGGGCTCTCATGCGTGGTCGTCTGCGGGGAGGGCGGCGGCCCGGCGACCTCGACGGAGGGCCCCGCGGGCCCCGCGACCACGGAGTCGCCGTGAGGCGCCGGCCTGCATGCCGCCGGGGCCGCTGCCGTTGGGCGATGCCGCCTCCCAGGTGGGGCCCGAGTAGTTATCACGGGCAACGGCATGCGGGGACAGGCGTAGGGGGGGGATGCATCGACCTCCAATCGTTCATCGCCGATGGGGGCCCGACAGCCCCACCCAGGAACGCGGGGATCTGCTCTCGGGGGCCTATCCCCGCTCTATCGGCGATGTGTCGCCCCATTCCAGGTCGGTGTTCCCCCCCCTCTGTGCCAGTCCCCCCCGACCGTTGCTGCCCCTGAGAGTATACAGATGGGGTCGGAGGATATCGCGCCCCATCGCCGATGCACCGGCGATCTGCATCGGCGGTGCGGCTCGATGTGGAGCCCGAGCTTCTCCGCGCCGAGACCTCGGCGATGCGGTGCAAGCCTCCGACCCCATCCAGGAGGCCTCCATTGAGAGCACCGGGATCAAGGATCCGCGCTCCCCGTCAGCCCGTGTCGCTCATGCCGGAGGCGGTGGGGTGGTTTCGAAGAAGAAGGAACTGCATCAACATAGATGTTCGGAGGTCCGCGTGGATTCCTTGCACCGGCGCTGGGCCTCCCTCCCTGGCGCGCGGAGCGCGCTATAGGGGCGGCGCCCGAGGCGCCGTCAGGGGGGTCGAGCGCCGATCCCAGAACTCCGCGCGGAGCTCCGAAAGTTTATGTGTAATTATGCAGCTTGTTCGTCTGCTGTGGTTTGTGCTCGTGGTGAGGCGTCTGGTGCGTTTACAGTATGTGCCAGCACTCACAAGTGACACTCTGCGCGCTGCGGGCGCCAAACAGGATGCCAGCGCCACCGGCAAAGTTCATTACAGCTGGACTGGTGGAGCGCAGTGTTTCCTATGGAGCCGCTGTCGTGACCTGACAGCAGGTCGCACGAGTAGTATGTCTGATCATCTGCGGTGTGACAAGAAGCGCCGTCATATCAGCATGCCCAGGAAAGAATGGCTGGCACGGGCGCCGATCGCATCTCTCCCTGCAAAGGAGGAGCAGGGTCTATGGGATTATTCTCGGACGTTTCAGAGCTGGTTTCAGGAGTTCTACAGAGGAGGGAAGGAGGATCGGGCCGGAGGAAAGGATGGACCGGGTGTGAGTAGAACCCGTGTAATACCTTAATAGATACTCCTTATCCTCACCTCTCCTGCGCCTGGCCGTTTGGGCTCAGGTATTGGGATAGATCGATCAGACCTTTGATCGTGCAGGAGGAAAAGATATCCATCTTTCCCTCCTTCCCTCTACCAGCGGATCAGGGGTTCTGTACCCTTGTGCTTCAACCCCATACACAGGTTATCAGCTTTTTAAAGCTCACAGTTCATCGAACCCCGCGTCGCGATCTCGCACGCGGCCTCGATGGAACCCAGGCGGCGCTTGCGCTGCAAGGGGTCCATCGGGGCCTCGCGTCCGAGCTCTCCGACGGCGCGACGGCTCGGTGACGAGTTGGAGAGCCTTAGTGTGGACTGTGTAGGTGTCCCAGGTACCCCACCCAGCTCCGACGGACCCGAGGCGCGGCTAGCTGCTGAACTTCACCGCCATGCCGCCCGCGGGGGGACAGGAAAAGGAGTAGGAGCAAATAGTAAGGAGTTCCACACGCCTACCTTCGATCCTCCATCTCCTCCTCCGTCGGGAGCAATCCCAACTGCGTCGGAGCCGTTCTGGCTCAGAGATTTCTGAGCTTGCCGACGCCAAGTTCAGAGCGGCCTGCGTCGGCGGGCCAAAAGCTTTCTGTCTTCAGCTGTCGCCGCGACGCCCGCAGCATGTCAGGCGATGGTTCCGTGCTCAGAGGCCCACGACAGCCACTTTGGGCCTGTTCGCACTGCGCTCGCACTGCGAATTGGGCGTGTCGTATCAAGTGCATATGCGGTGCTGCTGCTCCTCAGCGCGCGGTGCAGGCAGCAAAGAAGAATGCCAAGGAGTGGGAGAAGCCGTCGCCCAGCAATGCCCCGAGGGGACCGAGTGGACGATGGGCGGCGGGTCCACCTCCTGACTTCGTCAGACAGATCACCCGGGCCCTGGACAAGCGACTTGACCAGCGGCTCAAAGCGGCGGGGGTGCACCAGGACTCAGCAGCAACGGGTGGCGCTGCGCACGCTCAGTCTGCTTCTCGCTCAGATGCTCCTGGCG